CTGACTGGACAAAAAGGTGAAGTGCACTGAATGGAACACCATCGCTGCATAATTGATGGTTGTCTCTGGATTGCAGCAACTTTAAATAAGCTGTTACTAAAAAAAAAAAAGACATGTTCCCGTTCAGTTTTAATTTCATGGAAAAAAGCCTCCAGTTTGTAATCAGACAACTGCACTGTATTCTCTGCAGTTTGTTAGAGATGTGGGGGCCGTGTTTGTGTTTATCAGGAAGGACAATTTGCATCACAGAAAATGTAGGAGAGAAACTCTGAATCTCATTTTATGTTGAAAACACAGCACACAACAGTTGAAAAGCGCGTTCAGCGTTTATTTCTTCAAAGCAGGGATCAATGAAAAGCCATAACAATGTTTCTCTGCTTGTCCCTCTGACCAGGGTGGACGCCCCCAGCTGGACCCATTCTGAGGGCAGACCAGGTATTGTCACCTGGATCGCTCTGTGCAGCTTCATTTGTCATAATCATTCTTTCTTGTTTTGTCATCCCTGCAGCTGCTGATGAGATTTCCATAAAGAGAGGTGGCATGAATATGCATACTTATCCACAATGACACACCTGCTGCCTGTAGCTGAGATCATTACCAGTTTAACAACACATGGGGACCATTGCAAATACTTTAAACCTTTTGTGTTGGACCTGTCCATCAAGGACTTTGCCAACTTTAAAATACAGGACATACTATCATACTTTTATTTGATACAATCGTATCAAATCAGCATAAGATATCCGTATATTCATTATTAGTCCTTGTGATGGACCGAGCAGTAAAGACAGTCAGGCACAGGTGTATTTAAAAAAAAAACAGGGTTTTTTTATTTAACCCAAAAAAGATAAAATGTCAAAAGTACAAAATGGATCCAAAAATGAGGTCAAAGAAACAATAAAAACAACTCAAAATAACCAGTAAAAGAACAAACTCAAACTAATTTTTTTTTAGTAGAGTCTGTAAGATGGGAAATGGAAATTATTTTTGAAGTAAAGTCAAATGAATGTGGTTATATTTAAATTAATTAACTGGTGTCAATATAAACATTAATTTATGTTAATTTAGTTAAAAATAAGTACATTAGGTAGGTTATATTTCAATATATTAGTTTGGCTCATCACCTGAAATGTTCAAAAAATCATTTGGAACCGAGCAAAGATTTTAATTTGGGTCAAATGCAGTATTATTGTTTACATCAACATAGAATAATCAGGTCATAACAAGTGATTTAATTCAGATTCTGTGAAGTCCAAAATTTTAGATGTGATATCTGGACATTATTTCTTTTTATTTGAGCAAAGTTATACTTTTTTCCTGTGTGTTAATAAATAAATTCCAAATAATTAAATGACTCTGTAAATGAAACCCTATATGAAAAAGAAACTACATATAAAAGGATATTTGTTACCACATCTGTGTGGCTGTATATGCAGCTATCACAGTCCTAGAGTATTTATTAGAAAAAAAGTTCTTAGAGTGTGAAACCTAAAGTATTGCGGTATTTTACAGTCCATATGCTTGCATCCTGATCATGAAAAACTATGACAAAGAAATATAGCCATGATAGAAATAGGAAATGGGAGAGAGGACCTGAAAAACAGCTCAGTGTTTATGATGCTAAAGGGGTTTTTACAAGCTGCAGGATGATTTGGAAAAACAGCTCCCCTCAGCCAGTTTAAATGTTGTCCATATTTCAATTGCAGCGGTCTGTTTGTTGGAAAGATGAAAAATTAATACCCATTTAGAAGATTTAATGCAACTGAAAGAAAACAAAATAGTAATTTAATTAGAGCCACAGATCAAAGTGGTGTAGAAAGAAAGGCCCCAATGTTTGCTTCCTTGGATCATTTCTGCTTACTTTACAGCTTCCATTACACACTGTTCCAAAAACCCAGGAGGTTAAGATAGTATGGTGCCAGAACCGACGTTTAAACAGACCCTTTTCAAGCCTTCAGGGGTGGTTCTAGGTGAAAATTTACTAAGGGGGCCCGGATGGGGACAATGTTTCTTTTTTATGGTGGCACTAAACAAAAATAAATAAATAAATACCAAACACAGTAAACATAAACAGGATAAAAGTGCAACATTTAGTATATTAAGTGAGCTCCAAAACCAAGGTTGCAGACTCCAGATCTAAAAAATTAAAACTGTGGTTGTATATTCATATGGCTGAAGATCAGAGGTGAATATAAAACTGCAAAAGTTGTTAATCTAACCAAATCTTACAATCATAAATGTAACCAAAAAAAATCTTTTTGATCTTGTTTTGAGAGTGATAAACAAAGCAAAAGCAGATTCTGTTAGATAATAAATCGTCCTTTAAGAAGATTAAACTAAAAATAAGTGCACTAATCCGCCAAAGCAGTAAGAC